TCGGGGAGGGGCAGAGAGAGAAGGAGAGAGTCCCAAGCAGGCTCCCCGCTCAGCACAGAGCCCGACATGGGGCTCGACCTCACGGCTGTGAGATCGTGACCTGAGCCGGAATCGCTTAACCAGCCGCCCCGGCGCCCCTTGTCCCTCTGCTGTAACCATTTCCTCTCGATCACGGGCGGGTGCAGCGGGAGAGGCAGTGGACTCTGACAGGCGCCTCTGCAGGCAGGAGCCGCCCTGCTGGGTTGCGTCTGGAGGATGCGGCGGCGGGGCGGCTGCGGGGGCGTGCGGGCCACAGAGCAGGAGAGGGCCTGGGTGGCCCGGCTGGCGGGGGGGGGGGGGGGGGGGGGGGGGGCACGACTTCTCTGGACTGTTCTATGCTTCCCGTCCCTGCCCAGGTGCTGGGGGCCGGCTCCAGTGAGCCACGGAAGGGCCGGGAGGAGCCGAGCCCAGCCAGAGATCTGGCCCCGCGCAGTCAGGCCTCACGGGGGTGCTCACTTCCTGTCCTGGCAGGGAGGCGGCCTGGCGGGGGGTCCAGTGGCCTTGGGGAGGGGACTTTAGAGCCGACACTTCAGTGTCTGAGAGGTGTGTTTTCCTTGGTTTTTCAAAAGGCCTTAAAGAGGTAGCAAGCCTCTCTCCTTATCTTTTTCCAAAAGTGGGTGTCTTTTTTATTTTTGTTGTTGCTAACATGAAGTGGCGGAACGGAACCGCGTCACCGCAGACTGTGGGCTGCTTACCCACATGCCCCTTGTGTCGGGGAGAACCGGCTGCAGCGTACACCTGTGTGGCTTAACCTGAGTGGTACTGGAGTTGAACTTGTCCGTCCAGATCTAGTCCCCCAAACCCACTTTCGTGGCTTCTGCCTGCCCGTCCGCCTGTCTGTCCGCCTGTCTGTCCCTCTGTCGTCTATATTAAGCAGAAACATGGCCCTCGAACGCGTGAGGGAAAGAACCGCCCAGGAGGTGCTCTGCTGCTGTCACCTGCGGCACTGTAGTGAGGTGACAGAGGACACTTGTCCCTCGCCGGCGGGAGGCGGGTCTCGCGTGACAGCTGACATGCGGAGATCGGAGGGAGAGGGGAGAGTGATGGGGGGGAGGGGCGCTGGGATGTGGCGGGGGCGCCGCAGCTCTTGCTGTGCTTAGTCCTCTTTTAAAATACGGTCCGTGGGGCGCCTGGGTGGCTTAGTCGGTTAAGCGTCCGACTTTCGCTTAGGTCATGATCTCACGGTTCGTGGGTTCGGGCCCCGCATCGGGCTCTGTGCTGACTGCCAGCTCAGAGCCTGGAGCCTGTTTCAGTCTGTGACTCCCTCTCTCTCTGACCCTCCCCTGCTCCGTACCGTGACTGAGTCCACGGGACCCGTCTGTCGTGTGTGGGTTCTTTTTGGAGCCAGAGCTGTGTCTTCACTCTCGTTTGGACTGTTCCTTTGTGATCTTACTCTCGATTTCAGCCTTTGAAAATTTGAGTTTTGTGTGTTTTCCTGGGCCTCTGTCAACGGTCATTAAACTACTGTAGTGGCTCCTTGGGGCGACTCTCTTTCGGTGGTAGCTGACGGCCAGCATCTCCCCCAGCAGGCCCTGTCGCTGTCCTTGGGCAGCAGTGAAGGCCCATCAGTCGTGGGGGATCCTGGGCCTTGGGTGACAAGCTGCTACCCGTCTAATCTGTGGCTTTGTAAATACTCATAACCTGGGTGCGTGTGAGAGCCCGAATCCCCATATTATGTGAAGAGGGGCCTGGACAAGCGGCGTGTCCCCACAGCCGGTGACCCGCCTGGCCAGTGGGGGGGGGAGGGGGGCCAGGCTGTGGGTGGGAGCAGGAGGCGCCTCATGTTCCGGGCCGTGGTCACCGGTCAGCCGGCATCCGTGCAGCCTGAGAAGGGGAATGTTCGTGGGTGAGGCATTGCTGTCATCACCTGCCTGTGAACGTAGCCACACTGCACCTGTCCCCGCGGGCGAGCTCATCAGGGAACGGAAGAGTCCTCTCTCACGTACTCTCTTTTCTTTGGTAACATTTGGATGTGAATCTTAGCACTCTTAAACAGGGAATTATAAGGTAGAATTTAAGTTTACTTTTTTTCAAGAAAAGTTATTTTGAGAGAGAGTGTGTGTGCAGCAGGGGAGGGGCAGAGAGAGAGGGAGAAAGAATCCCAAGTAGACTCTGCACTATCAGCACAGAGCCTGATTCGGGGCTCGATCCCATGAACTGTGCGATTGTAACCTGAGCTGAAATCAAGAGTCAGATGCTTAATTAACCAAGCCACTCACGTGCCCCTTAACCTTACATTTTATTTTTAAATTTTTAAATATTTCTGAGAGAGAGAGACAGCATGAGCAGGGGAGGGGCAGAGAGAGAGACACACACAGAATCGGAAGCAGGCTCCAGGCTCTGAGCTGTCAGCACAGAGCCTGACGCAGGGCTCGAACCCATGAACCGAGAGATCATGACCTGAGCTGAAGTCAGATGGTTAACCAACTGAGCCACCCAGGCGCCCCAACTTTGCATTTTAGATTAACTTTTATTTTAGATTTATCCAAAAAAGTGAAAACATAGTACACAAAGTCCCCATGTACACCTCCCCCCCTGTAAACCTCCCGAATGTTAGCCTCCTGCATCAGTCCGGCGTGGTTCCAGAACGCAGGACGTGCCCATCAATACCGAGCCATTCACTTTCCACAGACTGGCCGGGGCCCCCGGTGAGGTCTCTCTGGGTGTCTCCTCCAGTCTGGATGCTTCTTCCTCTGTCTCTAGTGACCGACACGTTGGGGGAGTGCTGGCTGGCATTTTGTTCATCCGTAGTCAGGTTTGGCTGCTATGCTGTGGTGCCGGGTCCGGGGCCCATGGCCCTGTGCAGAGTGGGACAGGGTGACTCTTCTGACGTGTCCTCCCATAGGGGGACTGCTCCTCACAAGTTGAAATTGGACAGTATGTTCATCGAGCTGAGAACAGTTAAGCTGTAAATGGGTGCAGTGCGGTGGCTCCTTCCCGGCTCGGCCCCAGGGGACCGGCTGGCTGGTTGTGCGTGGCCTGCACTGCCCTGTGCCAGCACACAGCAGCGGGCCCCCCGGCTCTCTGGCACAAAAGTAGCAGCATGTACACGCTCTTCCGTGGTGCGTTTCCACTGGCCTTGCGTTGTGGGGGAGACCGGGCTGGGCAGGGGCGGTCCCGTGTGGCCCTGCTCTGGCCCCGTGCCCCCGGCTTCCTGCGGTTCCCGTTCTGCATTCTCGTTCCCAGCGTGCCAGAGGCGATGGGAAGGACCTCTGAACAAATAATGCCTTCCACGCGCGCTTGTGCAGGGAGGCACTCTGTGCAGGGGTGGGACCGAGGCCTGGGGCCCCGCTTCCTAACCACGCAAGCCTGGTGGGCAGCCTGGACACCCCAGTCGGGACACTTGACCCTGAATCTGTAGGCTCAGGCTGGGGGGGGGGGGGTGAGGTGCGCATTTCTGCCCAACGTACAGCCCGTCCCCTCCCCCAAAAGGGACGGTGCCGGGGATGGTGTCCCTCCAGTGCAGCCCACCGGGGTGGAAGAACGTCCGCCCACCTGCGCTGACCACCCTCACCCCTGCAGAGCCCGCTCCTGCGCCGGCAGCCTCTGCGGGCGCTGTGTCCACGGTGCCCGGAGTACCTGTTGGGGCGCGGGGCTGCCCCCGGGCCCCGTTACTGGTGAGAACCAGAGGCCCAGAGATGGGAAGTGACCAGCTTAGGTCACACAGGGGCAGCAGATGCTGGGGATGATTGTGAGTTGGTTTGACTTTTGTTTCTTAGGGGAGTGGGGGGAGCCAGATGCTTCCTGGGAAATATAATGAACAGATTTGATCAAGTGATAATGTTTTAGAGAAGTTCATCATGTCCACAATATGTCCCCTTAAGACCAGAATCTGGTTTTGCTTTAACCTTCCCTTTGTTGGAAAGGGGCCCGTGCCCTTAGGCCCCAGCATTGCGCCCGTCCCCTGGCCGTGCAGCCCTGCGCTGGGCCCTTGGTACCCAGTGGGAGGAGTGCCCTGTATGGCTGAGGCGCGGGCCAGATGTGGGGTCCCTGCTGGGAGCGCGGCCCCCCCACAGCGCCCCGTTTGTCAGCAGCTGTCGGCCCCAGCGGGTTGGCTGCGTTCTTGGATTCCAGTTTGGCCTTTGCGGGGTGCAGAGACCGCCCCAATCTTGCAGGGGTGAGCACCGCTGGGGCACAGAGTAGCTGGTGTGGGGCCCTGGCGGCTGTGTGAGCAGAGTGCAGGGTGAGTGGCTGCCGGTGAATGAGTGCACATTTCGGGCAGCTAGTTTGTGAAGTGGCTTTAGCGGTTGACTAAGGAAGAGGCCTCTTGGCAGAAGGAAAAGATTGGGGGGCCGTATAGTTTCCTCTCATTAGTAACCCTGTGTTCACGGGTCACCTTCCGTGGGAGTGAGCGCTCCCAGCACCGGGCGGATGTTAACTACCCAGCCGTGGACGCCGTCATCAGTGACGGTCCCCACCCCTTTAAAAGGCACTAGCCTGGTCCTCTGCACCGCCACCTAGGAAGGGGACGGGCCGCTACCCTCCAGGGGCCGAGGCGGCCAGTACCTTAGAGCAGGGCCCCTCCCGTGACTGCCCTGGGAAGCTCTGAGAAGAGGCGGGCGCCTCAGGCGCTCTGTGGGGTGGGGCGGGGGGACAGTGCTGCCCCGAGATCGCACGGTGTGCGGTGGGCCCTGCCAGTCCTTTCCAAGGACCCAGGATGGCAAATCTGGACCTGAGGTGGGGGTTCCGGTGTCAGCGTCGCGGCCGACCCCAGCCATGAACCCCAGCCGGCTGTGCCTGTCCGGGTTTCCCTGCCCGTCCGGTCCCCGATGGCTCCTCCCAGTGCCCCCGTCTCTGCGACAGGCACCCTCACAAGAAGGAGCCGTTGAATGCCCTTGGAGGGGGGAGGCGGGGGCAGGAAGCGGTCCGGGCACACCTCTGTGAAAACGTTCAGCGAGCTGCACGAGCCCGGAGCGTGGCGCTCCGACCTGGGGAATAACCTGTGACCTCTGTCGTTGTAGGAAGACATGGCTGCTCACGTCGGAGCTTCCCGCACCCCCCAGGAGGTGATGGAGCATTACGTAAGCATGTACATCCACGGAAACCTGGGGAAAGCCTGCATCCCCGACACCATCCCCAACCGGGTGACCGACCACACGTGCCCCAGCGGAGGGCCCCTCTCTCCCAGCCTCACCACCCCCTTGCCTCCCCTAGACATCTCGGTGGCCGAGCAGCAGCAGCTGGGCTACATGCCGCTGCGCGACGACTACGAGATCGAGTACGACCAGGACGCCGAGACGCTCATCAGCGGGCTCTCGGTCAACTACGACGACGAGGACGTGGAGATCGAGCTGAAGCGCGCACACGTGGACATGTACGTGCGCAAGCTCCGGGAGAGGCAGCGGCGCAAGAACATCGCCCGCGACTACAACCTGGTGCCCGCCTTCCTGGGCAAGGACAGGAAGGACAAGGAGAGGCCGGCCAGGCGCAAGATCACCAAGGAGGAGAAGGAGCTGCGCCTGAAGCTGCGGCCGCTCTACCAGTTCATGTCGTGCAAGGAGTTCGACGACCTGTTCGAGAACATGCACAAGGAGAAGATGCTGCGCGCCAAGATCCGCGAGCTGCAGCGCTACCGGCGCAACGGCATCACCAAGATGGAGGAGTCGGCGGAGTACGAGGCTGCGCGGCACAAGCGCGAGAAGCGCAAGGAGAACAAGAGCGCGGCGGGCGCCCGGCGGGGCAGGGAGGACGGCAAGGACGGCGAGTTCGCGGCCATCGAGAACCTGCCCGGCTTCGAGCTCCTGTCGGACCGCGAGAAGGTGCTCTGCAGCTCCCTGAACCTGAGCCCCGCGCGCTACGTGACCGTGAAGACGATCATCATCAAAGACCACCTGCAGAAGCGACAGGGGGTTCCCTCCAAGAGCCGCCTCCCTAGCTACTTGGACAAAGTCCTAAAGAAAAGGATTTTGAATTTCCTCACGGAGAGTGGCTGGATCTCCAGGGACGCCTCCTGAGGCGGCGGCGCGGAAGCGGGGGGTGGGGGGCCGGAGGGGGGGGGGCGGGAGACACAGATCCGGGAGCAGGGGGGGGGCGGCTAGGGTGGAGGGGGAGAAATGCCCCCCCCTCCCCCGGTGTTGCTCTTTTTTAAAGGAATTGCGTTCCTTTCTTTTAGGCTATAAATTCTTTTCATGATCCTCCGAAAGAAGCAATAGTAACGATTTTATGTCGGATCAGGGGGACACTGGGATAGGTCTGTTTTAACGTAGTCCTGAGGTAGTACCTTAAGGCGGCGATTGGCCTTTATGTTCAGTTTGGGGAATATTATGAGATTGGGTCATTTCCTTTTGCGTCTTCCCTTTGGTACGCAACTCGGCTGTGGGCTAAAAGGAGCGACTTTCCCCCGGGCCGCCAACCGCCAGCTCTACCCCGTGACATGACCTCTGGCTGGCTGCTGGGGACTCCCTTGGGGAAGGGGGGCCCCATGGCCACCCACGCGGACGCCCCAGCACAGCCCCAGCACGCGGCACTTTAGGTGGGGGCCAGGGTGGGGCAGGTGGGAAGTGGGGCCGGAGGAGCCCAGGATGTTGCCGCATGAACTTTAGTGGAAGAATCTGGGGTTGAACAGGGTCCACACGCGCTTCCCCTAGACTCCCGGCAGTGTGGGGTTCCGGCATGTAGTTCCCGAGCGGGGAGCCGGCCCCTTGCCTCATTGCCGCCCACTCTGGGCAGGCTCCCGTGGGTGCGGGGGAGCGGCGTGGGCGCCAGGACCGGGCCGGCCTTCCAGGCGGCTGCTGCTTGCTGCCCCTGCTGCTTGCGGTGCGTTTTCCTTGGAAGAACTCCTTCTAGAAAGTTTAAGGCTCTGACTTCTGGAGTACACTTTCTCCAGGATTTTCATCGCAGTCACGATTCCCTTTTTCACCGCAGCTGACCTTGACTGTACTAGCCTGGCTTAAGCGGCTTCTGGTGGCGGCCAGCTCTCTGCACGCCAGCCGGGCCGCTGGGCTCCCGCCGCGGGGCCGGCCGAGCGGGAGGGAGCCAGTGGGCGGGGCCCGGCCTTGCTCCTCAGGGTCCGGCCTCGGACCGCTCGCTCCCTCACTCGCTCGGCTTTGGCCCCGGGCCCGCGTCCGGGGACGCACCCGGTACCTCCCTCCTGGAACTGGGGTCCCGTGTCTTCCCGCTGCTCAGGGTCGGGGCTCATGTGTAACGGCCCTGCTTCAGAGTCAGAGTGACCGGAGACCCCAGCACCCCGTTCTTCCTGGAGCTCGTCCTGCCTCTCCCGCCCCCATAGCTACCAAGAGACTTGACCTTCCAGAATGTTTGGGCTTGCAGTTACATTAAACTGAACTTATCTGAAAGGAGAAAAAAGACCCTCATCATTTCCAAGGACTTAATTACGGTGCCTTTTCCTTTCTTTTTACATCCTCCTGTCCCCCAGGGTAAATTTTTCAGCATTAAATAAAACATTTCAAATAGATCGTGTGTGGCTCTAGTTGTAAAGCACGTCGCATGCTGGCGGAAGCGCTCCGTTGGCTCCGTTGGCCAGGCCCAGGACTTCCCTGGGCAGGAGGGGAAAACCGCGAGCACTAGTGCTACTCATGAGGCCGCCTCCACACCGCCCCCCTGCAGGGTAACTAGGGCTGGCAGGGGGCCAGTGCCGCCCGCCACGGGGCAGCGATGGAGACCGTGCGTAGGGCTGACAGGCCACTGGTTCCGCCTGAAGTTCCTGGACCAGCAGCATCTGTCCTGGGAACCTGCTAGAACTGCAGACCCTCAGGTCCCACCCAGCCCTGGAGGCTCAGAAACCTTAGGCCTGGGGCCCTTAGCCTTCCAAGTGCCTGGGACGCAGGCCCTATAGCTCCTCTGGTGTCCTCACTCACTGGCTGTTCTGCATCCGGCCCCCGGTTGGGTGGGGTTCCCAATTTAGTACCTTTACCTAAAATGGCTGCCAGACTTCAGCTTGAGCAGCAGATCCCTGTAAACGCGTGGCCTGGGCCTTCAACTGAAACAGCTGCTTAAGCAAGTTTTTAGTACGTGTATCTTTTGGGTGGTACGAGGACTCGGGCCTATTTTAAAACCGTGAACGTGTAACTTGTTGAAGTGCTAATAACAATGTGCCCTGAGAAAAAGTGATTTTATCGTGAGTTGCCTCTTATCCCATCAACTCCAACTATTCTGGTCCCGCTCGTTCCTGCTGCTGCTGGTGCTGCGGGCTCAGAGCCGTTGAGGTGCCGTACGTAACACTCCCGGAGAACTCGTCCCCAGAATCCCATGGAATTGGTTGTTTTGTTTTTTCAAAATTTAAACGACTTTGAGTCAACAAAGTTAGATAATCCAGCCGTTCAAAAGAATGCTTTCCGGATGATCCACATCCCGTGAACGTATAAAACCCCGAGCCCTATGGTGTTCGTCACCTTTCGCACATCCACGAGTTGGGAACAAAGGGCCGCTGCTGTGTGTCCGCGCTGATGCTCCCCTGGCCGCAGGTGCCAGCCAGCGCGCAGCAGCAGCGTCAGGACGGGGACAGCGTGGGACGGGTCGTAGCTCAGCACTCCGTTTCCCCGAAGTATTAACTACTCTGTCAGGCAGCTCTCTTCCCCAGAGGTGGCGGTTCACCCCCGGGGTGCGCCTTGCCCACAGCCGGGCCGCGAAGGCCCATCGCGCGCAGACACTGGCGGCTCGGTGCCGGGCACCGTCCACGTCCGGCCTGCAGTTCCGTGAACCCCAGGAACTTGACGAGAATGCAGTTACCAAGTCTGAGCTCTGGTGTGAACAGGCATGTAATTAAAGGTGTCCCCATTGGGGGCCACACTGGGAAACAGCCCAGCCATCGGCCTCTCCCGTCTCGGCTCTCAGCAGCCACAGCTCCGAGGGGGCTGCACACGTTTGTAGAAACTCATTTGAGAGTCACTTATGCAGCTTTCGTTTCATAGGAGTTCCAGAAAGTGACACGAGATACCCCCGGCTACACAGGCTAAAAAAGCAGAGCTGTGATCCCAGCTGGGTTTTCTCAGTGCGCTACACTGCATGCAGTTCGGGGGCAAGTTTCTGACCAAGTAATTTAAAAGTGTGCTTCAAAGAATAGAGAATATTTCAAAGTGGTATAAATTAAAATTTTAATTATGGGAGTATTACCTACATCTTTCAAAATTACAAGCGAAGTAAATTGCCCCACCTTTTTATGCAGTAAATGAATTTAACAGAGTTGACCTTGACTCCTACAAGTAGCTCTTGGGAGCAAAGGCAAGTAGAAGGTTGGATTTTCTGTGGTTTGTAACATCGCTTGCTCAACTCTTCTGGGAGGTGTTTTTGCGGCACCCCAAGGGTTTGTGGTCCCCTTCCCAGGTCTGCAGGTGGGGACATCTGCCCCCAGCAGTGGCCCCCTTACAGGCCAGCCTGTGGCCGCACCAGAGGGAAGCTGACCTGTGTGTAGACGGGGGTCGACTACCCGGCTTCAGGGTTTGAGCAGAGAAACGGGAGAGCCACATCCCGCTTAGCTGGTGGACACACCACGTACACACAGTGGTTATCATCAGAGTAGGAAAATAAATGTTAGGGCTTTAATCCTCTTAAATAAAACTTAAAAATTCAACACGAACATTTCAACTATACGAGCATGTGACGGTCAGACTCAGAAAGTCCACCTCACCCGGGAAGATGCCTTCAGGGCATCAGGAACCAGCGAACACAGATCCGAACGTTTCTACAGACAGATGAACAAATCAGGGCAAAAGTGCCCGACTGTCGTCAATTCAGTTACTGGCATAATAAGGTGGTGAGGGCCGTTCAGGCGCTTGCGCTCGCGCTCACTTCCGGAGAGAAGCCGGAAGCCGGTCATGGCAGCCAGACGGGAGCTAACTATAAACGAACCCGTGTACTTCAAGGGCGTCGTGAAACTGTTCTGAGCAGGAACGTGCTGAAACCCACGCCTTCCCTTCCCTTTGGAGGCAGCGGGCTGAGCGCACGGGATACCGCGGGCCAGAGGGCGGCTGTGCGGCCACCGTGGTTTCTGGCGACACGTACTTGCTCACGACACGTGGCTGCCACCAGGCTGTGAGCAGCTCGAGCTCACGCACCCCGGGAGACTCCAGGCCCCAGAAGCGTCCCGCCGGCCTGTTCTGGAAGCACGAGGACTATTAAAGGCGTATTAAAAATCAACGAACAGACTCCCGAATTAGAGGCCATTCACGCATCTGTGCCACCAGCTGAGTTTTCTGTTTAGCCGCTGGTTACTACAGTTTTCCAACAAGGTTTGGGAAGGGGTCAAAAGTAGGAGAGGTGGGCCGGGCCGTGGGGAGTCCCGGCAAGGAGCTCATGGAATGCAGGGCGGCCCCGCGGCGCGCCTACGCCGCCTTCACCACCCCCACGAGCGCGGGCCGCAGCGTGCGCCCGTGCAGCTTGTAGCCCACTTTGCTGACCAGCGCCACCGTGCCCGGCTCCTTCCCCTCCACCGGCGTGTGGAACAAGGCCTCGTGCTCGTAGGGGTCAAACTTGGCCCCCACGGGGTCCAGCCGGAGCAGGCCGTGCTTCGTGAACACCTTCTGGATCTGGAGCTCCGTCATCACGAGCCCCTCGTACAGGCTCTTCAGGTGCGGGTTGTCGTCCCTGACCTCCTCCTTCGGGACACTCTGCGTTGCCTTCTCCAAGATGTCTGCGACCTCCAGCAGGTCCTTGCAGAAGCCCTGGATGCCTAGAAGAGGCGGGAAGACACGGTCACCTGCAGCCCCCGCCGGGCGCCAGGCGGCTGGAGCCCCGCCGACCTGACGCACAAGCTGTTTAACGGCAGCCTTTCAAACCGTCCGTCTGTCCTCGAATGTCAGTGGTGTGTTTAAAAACAAAAAAACCCAGCCCACAGAAACCAAAACCCTTTCCTGGGTTTGGACCAGAGCTAATCGGACATGAAGACACACAGCTTACGAGACGCAGAGCCACCTCCTCATTAGGGCCGCCCTGGGGCCGAGGAACCGCGCTCGGGCACAGCGCGTCACCCTGCGGGCGTCACCGCTGTCGGGAACCACAGGCCGCGCAGGGCGGGGGGGGCGGGACACCGCAGGGTCCAAGTCCCCAAGACACACCCCAAGCTGTAACCTTATGTAACCTGACAGAATAAACAAAGGAGAAAAGACTCAACATCCAAGGCCGCGTGGCCCAGCGAGCGGTGCGTGCTTTCAAGGAAACGCGTCAGATGCTGAACGAAGGTGGGGTGACGGCGGCGCGCAGGTGACCTGCCTCCCCATGGCCCCGACTGCGCACGACTGCCCCATCGCGCCCGCCCCTGCGGGAGGCAACACCTGTGGGGGACTTCCTGTCACTCTCCCTCCTGCTTTAAAATGGGATTTCGGGGCGTCTGGGGTCAGTCGTCTGCCTCTCAGCTGCAGCTCAGGTCTCGATCTCACCGTCTGTAAGACTGAGCCCCGTGTCAGGTTCTGCGCAGGCAGTGCGGAGCCTGCTGAGGTCCCCCTCCCCCTGCCCACCCCCCCCCTCATGCACACCCTAGCTCTCAGATAAACTAACTAAAAAATAAGTAAGATGGAATAAAAAACTCTCAATAAAAACATGTGCGTCTACCACGGGCTGACCTTGTGTGGGTTCTCGCCGAACAGCGGGCCCTCAGGGCAGGGGCGGACTGAGAGCCAGGCGCCAGATTGTCCCGTAGGCGACAAGCACACTCACGAAACGCAGCCCGCCAAGGAGCGCCCCGGGCACGGAGGAAAGCTGCTGCTCAGGGGCCCCAGTGAGCCTGGGAATCAGGTGAGAGGCCTGTGAGCCACGGCCTGAAGTTACGCCCACACCACCTGAGGGCTCAGGAGCGGCCACTCTACAGGCCCAGAGTAGACAAAGGCTCCAGATGGACTGGCGGAATGGGCGGATGCAATGTGGCCCCGCCGGGCAGGCGCACGTCAGAGCACCCGCGGTCTCGGCTGCACACTGCCCCGATCAAGCAAACATCGGGACGAAGAGAGTTAAACGAATGTTGTGCTTTCTCAGAGCAAACTGGACTATGCTTACGCTGTAACCCATTAAGTGTAAAATAACATTATGTATAAAAAATAACACACAGGGGCACCTGGGGGGCTCAGTCGGTTGGGCGTCCGACTTCGGCTCAGGTGGTGATCTCAGGGTTCATGGGTTCGAGCCCCGCATCGGGCTCTGGGATGATAGCTCAGAGCCCGGAGCTGCTTCAGATTCTGTGTCTCCCTCTCTCTCTGCCCCTCCCCTGCTCACGCGGTCTCTCTCGGGGGAAAAAAAATGAAAAAAATTACATACCTTGAAAAAATGTTTTGCCAAAAACCACTAATCATCATTTGAGCTCTGAGCGGATGGTAACAAACACAGTGATAAAGAGGTGGAACTACCGTGAGAAGGACGACAGTGTGACAGAGATGAGCCGTGGGCAGACACTGCTGGAAACGTGACCTGCTCAGCACGGGGCTGCCACAACCCTCGCTCCGTAAAAGCTGCGTCACCTGTGAAGCGCAGGAAGGTGGGGCCTGTGTTCTGACAGCACTCTGGCCTGGACCAGGGGGGAGGCATGTGAGGACAAGGGAGAGGAGAGGGCAACTTCCGATTACGGGCTTCAAGAAGCTCCAGGATGGGGAACCGAATCCTCTATTATAATGAGGAAGAAAAGCACAGATAGAGGGAGACCTGCAGCTAAAGATGTGGAGCGCACACAGGGCACACGGGACTCAGGAGAAACGTCTGAGCCATAAAGCACCTGTGTGTGATGCCTTTTCGACGCACCGGAGGGCGGGTCTCCTGGGGGGCCACGCCGACAGGAAGGGAGGCCACCCCAATCCCTCGAAGACCCAAGCGTTAGAAGGCCAGGCAGAGAAGAAGCTGATGAATGGCATTCCCAGGAAAAGGAAGGAAAAGTAGTCTAAGCGACCTGCTATCTGTTCAGTGTGGGAGCGCGAGATCCGGATCCTGGTGTCCACTTGGCTGCGAGCCTACGCGTGTGCCTGGGCGAAGTACTCAATGTCTCACTGTGAGCCCCAGGTGGTTCTAGGATATGAGAGAACGAAGCCTGCCTGCCAGTTCCGCGTGGACGGTTCGGTGAGTACTCAAATCGTAGCCTTATGTTCAGCGGACACCACCACCCTTTTCTGGCTGTGACAAGTGGCGAGTCATTTAAGCCTCAGTGACCTCAACCGTAAAAGGGAAGGACAGTAACACGAGTACCTAAGTACTGATGATGCAGACAGCATCTTTGATCTAAGAGGTTACTGCTGAAGCCACTGAAGGGGAACATCGGGGAGGCCGACCTGCTGGAATTCTCCGCGGGCTCAGATAACCTCAGCGTAACAAGGTCCGCGTGTGGAAGAGCAGTGAGCACTCCCTCCCGGAGGGATTACACCTATAATTCTAGGCGTGCGTTACAAGTGCAGCTCTGCTCCTTACACACTTTACCGCGGACCCGTTTCAACTGGGGAGGATGCATCAGCAGCCTCTCCGCGGCCTCACCCGGGGGATGCTGCTGTTTGATACTCACGTGTGCACTCCCCCACCGCCCCCAGTTTTCTAGAATCAGTGTCATATGGTGTTTAAAGTTACCGTATAATTTTGCCTCTTCCACCAACTTCTGGCTCCTCTGCCGCAAGTTCTCCGTATCTGCCAAAGCTCGCTTATATTTTTCCTAAAAAGAAAAGAAGAAAAAAAAACCCCAAGAAATTTACAGGAATGAATCATGGAACAAATAAATTCGCAAAAAAACCCAAATCAGATATTAACCAATTCTAAGTCAAAATACAAAGAACATTCATCGTGTCCGGGATTTCAGACCACAGGCAGTGCCGCTTCCTGGGGGTCTTGCATTTACACCGCCCCACGTGCACAGCAGGGAAAAGGGTGAGGAAAGCCATCTACCTTCTCGCGACTCTGGGTGTCATCACCCATCGAGGAAGGGCCGCTCGCTTGCTCAGCACAAGTTCCTTACCTCAGGGAATCCTAGAGGCTGGTGAGGGGCTGACGCACCCAGTGCCCACACCTGGAGGGGTCTGGGGAAACCACCCGCCCACCAAGGAGACTAAACCCCACCCACAAACCTTCAATATTTTGCCCAGACGTGGTTCCCAACATCTGCTGGGTAACAGTCACCAAAGGCTGGCGCCCTCGTCACTTCTCAGCACTCCTCCCCCATCGCGCTCATCTACCGAGCTTGTCTCGCTTAACGCGGGCTCTGTGGCTCTGGGGGCCCTGCCCTCACCTGCCTTCCGCCTGCAGGCGGCTCTAGTGCTGTGGCTAAGAACAAGGCTCCTGAGGCGCAAACCTTGGCTCTGCCCCTCAATAGCTAAGCGACCTGGGGTACTTCACCTAGCCTTTCTGTGCCTCAGTTTCCCCATTTGTAACCAGGGGTCCACAGCCGACTCACAGGGTGTTGTGAGGATTAATATTCACAAGGTGGCGAGAACAGAGCCAGTATATAGTAAGTGCTTGATGTGATTATTTAAAAATCCTTATAGACCCTGATCTGTGCCATCGACGCCTCCTCACGTGGGGGAAGTCCTTCTAGCTGGTTCCTGAACTCCCTCCCTCCCTGGGAAAGCACAAGCACCACAGCTCCGGCCCCAGGCAAGCCTGGTCTTCCCCTAAGACCCGGCTCAAGTGCCAAAATGAGTGTTGCTCACTGTAAAGACCATCTCGGGTCTTAGTATCATCCGTGTGGCGCACGAAGAGGACTCTCAGGCCACAACCAGAGCCACACAGGCTCTTCCCCGGCAAGACATCGCTGCAGGTCCCGACGGGCAAATGACCAAACTCATCAGAAAGACCCTCGCCCGCGGCCCCACAGATGACACTTCCCCTGAGCGCCGCGCCGCCTTACCACGGTCTCCTTCAGCTGCTCCTCCAGCTTGAGCTTCTCGTCTAGGAGCAGCTTCTCCGTGGAGGGAGTATCTGTCTTCTGTTCATTCTGACCTGCGTCCTCTTCCAGGCTCTGGCCACTGTTCTTCTGTTTCGTCGCTGTGCACAGCAGCCGAGGAGAGGACCTAAGGGAAAGCCACAACGCGATGAAGTCAGACTATGGGTTTTTTGTTTCAAAGTCAGATGTATGAAGGGTACCCGGATGTTTCGGTGGTTAAGTGCCCAACTCTTGGTTTTGGCTCAGGTCATGATCTAACCCTTTGTGAGATCAAGCTCTGCGCTGACAGCATGGAGCCTGCTTGGGGTTCTCTCTCCTTCTCTTTCTGCTCTTCCCTCCCTCACCTGCACACACACTCTCTCAAAATAAACATTTAAAAAAGGTGTCTACAAAGTACTATGATTTGGGGTTTAAACAAGATAAAAGAGGAACCATGTGCTTCAGAAGGCTCAGCGTAGAATTTTCCAGCTTTAGGGAAATGGACTACCGTGAAAGGCTTTGTGCAGAGGGGCTCTGAAGGCCAGATAAGAGTTACACATAAGGAGTCTGGACTGCAGATGGCAGAGCGGGGGGAATCTACAGGGGGAGACAAAGAGCTCTGAAACAAGTACTGGAAGTGACTTCAAATCTTATCCAATCTGACCCCCACAAGAAAACGGTTAAATAAGCCCAAGGTCACAAAGTTTCTAATGAATGACAGAATGGCCTTAAAACTCAGATTTCTCCCAAGAGCTCTTCTTAATTGCACCGCCGTTCCATCTGAAAACTAACTATAGTCCGCTTTCTTCCCAGATCGAAGTAAACTGGCTCCGTGACCGGGAGACTGTCCGCACACAGGACACGCATACGGTATGTTTAGGGCAGCACAGGGCGGCAACGGGCCGGAAATGAACGCTCGCCACGGGGGACATCACTGGACAAACTGTTGCTTCCACAGCGGGGACCACTGTGCAGCCACCAGAAACCATGTCCAACTCTCCTATGGGACGCGCTGTACCGCGTGGAAGGAGATGCAACTCAGAGAAACAGGGGAAACGCAAGGCCCTCTCTAAGGACACGCACCCTGCGTGCACACCCGTGTCTCAGCCCCAAGGAGAACGGAAGGACCCAGTTACTAGCGGGAGGCCTGTGCTAACCTTCCTGTTGTATTTTATTTTCGTGCTTTAAAACAGCTGATGATCTGAACACCAAGTGTGCTGTGCTGAGACCCGTCCTATGTTCCAGTTGTGCTGATTCCCGGGTGGGACGGTCCCGGTCCCTGTGCACGTCAGCTCTGCTCCGCAGCCCCGGCTCCTGTGGCTCAGCCCGGAGTGTCTGGGAGCAGGTGGCAGGGAAGAGTCCCTGCCCAGCTGGTTTTCCAGAGAGCGAGCCTGAGCCTCCCAGAGCTGTTCCTCCCAGAGCCGTGATGGCGGCTCAGCTCTCGCTCCCCCATTCGAGCCTCCTTCCACAAAGGTAGTTCAAGGGCAGAAATGAGCGCTATCCTGCTGATCGTTTTCCTGGCCATTAATTCAGATACTAAACCACAAATTACCTAAGTTAAAAAAAAAAAAAAAAAAAGCCTTTTCACTCAGGTAATCCGGGTGGGTCACTGCTCTTTGTTCTCGTGTTTTGTTTTCTAGAATTTATCAGGCTGGCAAACCCCTACATCCCTTTCCTGGTAGGTAATCTCTCCGGCTCCCGGGTCCTCCCATCCGCGTGAGAAAGCTCTTCCAGAAAAGTCCACCCCGCGCTCTGCCCAGTCTCTACTCGGCTCAGAGCAGCCCCTCCTAAATGACTGGGTTCTGAAGCCGGTCCTACAGCAAAGACGACGCTAAATCCTCACACTGACTTAGGAGGCAGGACTTTGAAGAAACAGCGGCTGCAGGATAAAGAGAAGAAGAAACAAGGCCCCTGGGTGGCTCATTTAACCTCCCCACTCCTGACTTCCGCTCAGGTCCGGATCTCAAGGTTGGTAGGATTGAGCCCCGCCTCCGGCTCCGCAAGGATCCTGCTCGGATTCTCTCCCTGCCCTTCCCGCGCGTGCGCTCTCTCTCAAAGTAAATACACAATAATAATTATAATGATAACAAAAACGATGATAAACTAGGCGAGCGCACCGGCTCTTGAGACCTTCACTGTGGAGTCCTGCACGTGTCTGAACACATTCCTCGCTCTACAGCGGGGCGGCCTTCGACGCACTGGCGACCTGAGACTCCGGAAAAGGCGGAGGTGGAGGCAGAATTCGGGCCCGAGTGGAAAAAGCCCGGGAACCGCCTCCCGCCTTCCCGTACGTCCTGCGGGGGCCCGGCCTAGCGCTGCCCGGGCACGCGCGCCCGGTACTGCTGGCGACCCGGCGTCCGGCGCGGGGCCCAACCCGGGGCCGCCAGAGCCCGGGGGCAGCGTCGAAAGCAGGGCCGGAGCGCAGGCTCTGCGCGGGAGGTCCGCGCGCCGCGGGCCCAACACGCCCAGCTCCAGGGCCGGACGGAGCCGGGCAGGGCCGGCCGCGCGGACTCGGCACGCGCAGGAGCGGCGCTGGGGACCACGTCCCTCCTCAGCCACCAGCAGCAGGGCGCCCGTACCTGAGAGACAGTGCCAAAGCAGGAAGGCTGCGCCGCGCCACCCTCACGCACCGCGCCGCCATGACTGTTGCCGCCGCCGTCACTGCGCACGCACCAGGCATGCGCAGAGGCCTCTGACCCGCCCCCTCGGAGGCCTGGCCACTCGCGTAGATGCTATGCCTGCTTCCCCGCCCAACTACTTCCCTCCAGCCAGTCCGTAACCGCTTCTCTTCTGATGGACATAAAATGTCAGCCAATAATTGTGGGTCGTTGCTGAGCGCTCCCTCACCCCTCAACTTCCCCTCTCGGTGGGCGGAGTCTTAGGCATTCCGGAGCCGCAGAAGGTGAGGGGGTGAAAGGTGAAGGGAACCGAGGGAGGAGACGCTCGCGGGAGGGGCGTGGTCTAGGGCAGAACCAATGGGGAAGAGGTTTCGGGGGGCGGGGCGCCGGAAGTGCGTCGCTCAAGCGCAGAGCCCTGCGGGCGGCGAGTCCTTTCGCGCTTCCGCTGCTCTTCGCTCTGGGGGCGGGCGCGGGTGCTGCGCGGTGCGGCGTCTTGAGCGCGGCGCGTAGGTGACGCGCGAGTCCGCTGCGGGCGGGGGCGCAGCCTGTGCACCTGCGGGGTCCTGAGGGTCGCCGTAAACCCCGCGGTTTGCCGACTCGCGGTGGGGATGGAGGGCAGTGGCGGGGACTCCGTCCCCGCCCGGGACACCTGGTGGGGCAGGTGCGGGAACCCGGGAGGCGGATGTGACAGCGTTACCGGGTGGGCGGTGGGGCACAGAGACGCGCGCGTGTGCTGGTTTTCTGTGCACTTGGCTGTCACCTTCGCTTTCTTCGGGATAAATAAGAACAGCACCTAGGACTACTTTGGGGGCTCAGCTAAAGCTCATAAGTCCAAATTTTTATTCATCTCAGAAAGGCCATTGGTACTTTATCACATGTCCTGAAGTGCAGGTGCGGCTTTACTTAACACCCCTGGACTCCTGGGCCGCAATCCTGTCTGCAGGAGGGAAGGCCGGAGCCTGTGGGCACCCCTAAGACGGAGGGCGGGACCCGTGGCCTCCCAGATGCGGTGTGTGTTGCCTGCATGTCACACTTGTGAGGTCCAAGCCCCTGTTCTTTGCTTTGCTCCCGTTAAGAGCATGGGTAACGGGGAATGGTTGTGCACCGTGCCCGAGCCTGGGACACCTGCAGGCAGAGGCAGCCAGCATCAGAATGGGGGCTGTTTGATGGGAAAATGACCCAGTTTGTTAATTAATTAAAGAGCTAGAGGGGAAAAGAGGAAGTAGGACTGTTGAGGATAAAAGCTTAAAAGCATAATTAAATGGATGTGTGGACCTTATTTGGATCATACTAGAACAAACCAACTATAAAAAAGACATGTATGGAGCGCCCGGGTGGCTCAGTCAGTTAAGCATCCGACTTAACCAGGTCATGATTGTGTGGTTCCTGGGTTTGAGCCCCGCGTCGGGCTCCGTGCTGACAGCTCGGAGCCTGGAGCTGCTTCGGATTCTGTGTCTCCTCTCTCTGCCCCTCCCTGATTGCTCCCTGTCTCTCTCTCAAAAATAAGTAAACATTAAAAAAAAATTTTTTTTTTACGTAAAAAAGACATGTGACATGGGGTTTGTTTGAATATAAACAGTATCAAATGATATTAAGGAGTTATGGACACTTTTGTTAGGGAGACATACTGGCCTGATGATTAGGTAAAAATGTCCCAATTGTTGGGAAATGCAAATCGAAGTATTCACAGTATATTGCCATGGTGTTTGGAATTTGCTTTATAAATACTCTTGTAAAGAAATCATGAGGAAAGGAGAAAGCTGGTGGCAAAATGTCAATAACGGTTGAAGCTGGATAGAGTTATGACTTTTGTATATTTGAAATTTTCTGTAATGTAAAACAGTAACATGATGTTTCTCACCGGCTGTGACATTGGGCAAGCCACTTATTTGCTCTTGGCCTTGATCCACTCACCTATAAAACTGGGATCATATCACTTATTGTGAAGTTTAAAAAGAGATACAAATAGTCATTTCCTAACTTCTTCAAACTCAGAAGGAATCGGGTGGGCATCCTAAGTAACTTACAGTGCGGAAAGAGGGCAACCAACAGTTAGTTATAGTCACTGTGTCCCAACAAAGAAACAAGCCCAGGTTGTCGCAGGGGCGATGCCACATGGGAGCGGAAACACCAGCTGGTCAAGGCCTGCCCGGAAGCCACGACCCCCATCTGTGTCCTGCCCCTTGGAATTTCCCTAATCAGAAGTCTGCCTGTGCTGCCACCTTGTGGCCAAATTGGGAACTGCCCCAAAAGGGAGCTTGGGTCACGTCTACAAAGATGTCATTTTGCCTCTGCTATTGGGATCCTGCTCAGGCGGTTCCCTGAGGTCTTCCTCACCTCAGTGCAAGTCCTCTCTATGTGGAGAAGAAGCTGCTTGTGTGGGGAGACTCCTGGATCAGCCTGCAGAGCACGCTTAACAAAGGTCACGGGTGGCCCGGGCAGGAATGCGGGAAAAGGAAGCCATAGCGTGCGTGACCCCTCCCCCCAGCAAAGATGGGGTGACGTTTAAAAAGGAGTCTCAGGAGAAGGTCTTGCAGATGGCCTGATAGCGTGTGGACCATGGGCGCGATCCTTATAATAGCTATGTGCCCGTGGGGGCCCCACTCTGGGCAGATGTCCTTTGGGGTTGGCACGTGAGATGGTGATGAGGAGACGGAACCCAGTCAGTTAGGTGACTCGTTCAAGGTCACAAAGGCAGAAAAAGGCAGAGCTTTTGCATAGTTTTCTCAACTAATCTTAGATGTGACTGTCAAAAGTGAAGCCAGAACCCGCATCCCTGTTACCGGCCACAAATTGCATTGTTCTTGTTATTATTTTATTATCGTCCCTCAGCAGGGAAAACGGATTTTCATCCTTTTACCCAACTCAAATTAGCCAATAAAAAAATATGGTAATAATAGGTATGGTAGACAGAATTCTAAAGATGGGCCCCCAGTTCCCCACCCTCTGGTGATCTGACCCCACACAAACCTAGATGCTTCTCTGAAGGCACTCGGCAGGTGTAACGAAAGGCCCGGGCCAGTTGGCTTTAACGGAGATTATCCGGTGGCCTTGGCCTTGGTGAGCCCTTTATAAGCAGAGAGGTTGTCCCAGCAGGCAACGTCAGAGAGCTTCAAAGCATGAGAACAGTTCGGACGGCCACTGGTGCTTTGGTGATGGGGGGGACGCGTGAGAGACAAGGGTGTGGCCTCTGGGGGCAGAAGGAGGCCCTCAGCTGCTGGCCAGCAAGGAAATGAGGACCTCAGACCTGCTGTGGCAAGGAGCTGGACTCCCCCAGGAACCTGAGGAGACCCCAAGAGCCCAGCCTGCCAGCACCTGATGCTCTAAGGCCCGGAATGGAGAGCCCAGCCCAGTGCACGGAGCCGCAGCGTAAGCCCGTGAGGCAGCCTTTATTGTCCGGGCTTCCTCTGATTGTGTTTTCTTTTTTTTTTCTTTTTTTAATGTTTATTTTTGAGAGAGAGAGAGAGAGAGAGAGAGAGAGTGTGTGTGTGTGTGTGTGTGTGTGAGCAGGGAGGGGCAGAGAGAAATGGAGACACAGAATCCGGAGCAGGCTCCAGGCTCTGAGCTGTCAGCACAGAGCCCGAAGCAGGGCTTGAACCCATGAACCGTGAGATCATGACCTGAGCCAACGTCGGATGCTTAACCAACTGAGCCCCCCAGGGGCCCCATCTTTGATCATGATTTGGATCTCAGCACACAGAATGGATTAATCATACACTTTGTTCCCTTTTTCATCATCGTGGCTCATTCTTGGCCCACTTTTTTTTTTTTTTAATTTCTTATAGTTTATTTATTTTTGAGACAGAGAGAGACAGAACATGAGTCGGGGGGTAGAGAGAGAGGGAGACACAGAATATGAAACAGGCTCCAGGCTGAGCTGTCAGCACAGAGCCCGACACGGGGCTCAAACCCACAAACTGTGCGATCATGACCTGAGCCGAAGTCGGACGCTCAACCGCCTAAGCCACCCAGGCGCCCCTCCTGGCATGTGTTTTGATTCCCTTCTTGGAACAGGCTGGGCCCCCTGCTCCGACTCTTAGCCCCTGACCCAGGCCTTTTATAGGATCCCATCCTTTGGCAAAAGGCGATTGGTCCAAGGACAGGGCATGTGACCCAGGCAGGGCCAATCAGATCCTCCCCTGGACAAGCTATATAGAAGCTGAGGGAAGCAGGTCTCTCCCTGCCCGGGTACCCACGCAGGGAGAGACAGCGGGGAGGGAGGTCTGAGGGCCCGAGTCCCTGTCCCAGCACCTAAACCCTCTCTCTGGAAGCCCTTTCTTCACTCCTGGGGCACGTCCGCACCCATCTCCACGTGAGGAACCAAGTACGAATTGGTTCCATTTGCTTACGTTGCTCTGAGTTGGTCTTCTGTCACTTACAATGGACTGTTGTCACTACAATGCCTCTTGGTGATCACTTGCCAGGCAGGCTTCCCTACAACCCCAGGGGACAGAGGAGGGAGCTGCACCGAGTCCAGGATCCGGGCCCGCCCTCTCACGCTCTGGACCTCACACTCTTTCCAGCACACACAGTGCTCGAGTAAGCACATCGGGGCCCCCACAGTGTGGCTACTTCACCATCACCTGGAGGAGGAGCCCAGGCCCCACGCGTAAGCCAGAGCTGAATCTGTGGATCTGCAGGCGTGTCTATGTGTGCGTGTGTGTGTGTGTGTGTGTGTGTGTGTGTGATCTGTCTCTGGGAGCTTCCATCCCAGCGTTATTTCGTTTTTCAAATACAAGGGATGTCTGATCCCCGCTGTGATTGTTGCTGCTGCTTTTCATCCCCAGGGGCCTTTCCCCAATGGCTCTCCTGCTGGGCTTTTATTCCAGCCGCACACTCAGGAAGCGTGAGCAATCCTAGCACCTGTCTCCCACTGAGATGGTGAACCTGCTGCAGGGAAGTCCTCCCGTCCACCCTCGGCCACGGCGGGGGCTCCGTCCCCCACCCCGGCATCCTGCGTGGCTGTGCCGTTGGCTGTGCCGAGGGCCCCGAAAGGAGGCCGACGCCAGGCCTGGCCCTTCTCTCCAGCGAACAGCGGAGTTTCCCCACTAGAAACCCATGGGGG